TAGATAAGTAAAACAAAAGCTTTTCCCATGGAATTTACAAGAGACCCAACCTTGTTTTGTTTTCTATTATACTACCATTCTGTTAATTATTGTTCTTACCCTTTAACATCAAATCAAAAATTTCCCTAGCCTTACATAATTTTATGTCCTTATTTCCTAAGCATTATTTTACATGTGTGCTAAGAAAGGGTAAAAGAGCATATGTCTAGAGTAAACACTGAAATGACTCTCCAGTGGTCATTCTAAGCCACTTTTGAAAACCAACTTGATGTGAGTGAGAACCAGAAGAATTCAGTATCACTGATGGCATTTAAAAGAAGTACAAGAAGAGTCATGTTGAAACAATAAAATCAGGGACACGTACCAAAGGAGTAACAAATTTTATTAAGGCCTTTAACTAGAGACTTACTTATAAGAAATATAATTATTCACAGAGGTATAACAAAAACTGTCAAATCTAGGCATTCTTAATGTTAAATCTCGCTGTTGGCATTTTCTCTTGTCATAAGGAAAAAAATACATTATTTGACATTTGAGAACAAATATCACTTACATTTGTATCTATCTAATAATGGTAAAGAAATTTAATTAGGAGTTTGATAGATTTTTTTAAATCCAGTAGGTGTTACAAAAACATTCCTGTAATAAAATAATAAAAATAAATGCATAAATACCTAGTATGTGTGTATACAATCTGGAAGCTTTTAATAAAGGAAAACATATTTTAACAATATTGTATTATAATATTTTAATTTGAAGGTATTATTTTCTGATAGGCAAACATTTTTGTGTACTTCTCTGGGGATGCATCTTTATTTGGAAATAATTTGGCTCATATTTCAGGCTTAATTAGCAAATCAAGTTTAAATCTCCATTGTATAAATCCATCTATGAAAAATTCAAATCATAAGAAGTCAATATTTAACTAAAATTTTAATTAAATATAGCCTTACAACACTTTATCGTATTATTTTTTAAAAATAGTCTTGAGAATCCGTGTCTTTCCACCTAGAAAAGCAGGCATGCATTTTTTTACCCCAATGATCAAGGCCTTTATTAATGAATTCCTAAGTTAGCAGAACAGTGTAACTTTCTAAATCCAGCTTTTTGTGTTTGGCATTTCTGCTACTTACAAGAATCAGTGTAAAGAAAAACAGACTCTGGATGTAGGATATTTTATAATCTGTATTTTGCTATTATTAAGGAAATTAGCTAATACTGTGATATTCATTAACATTTATTTTATTTGCACTTGAAGTTTGAGCAAATAGGAAATATAACTACGATTTTACAATAGTGTTTGTCTGACAGCTGTTGAGTGCTCAGAAAAGTCAGTTTAACCTTTTTCAGTTTAATTCCTGATTAGGGGAGAAAGAAGATATACAATTTTTTATTGCATTTTAGATTGTGGGGTACATGTGAAGAACATGCAAGATAGTTGCATAGGTACACACGTGGCAGTGTGATTTGCTGCCTTCCTCCCCTTCACCTATATCTGGCATTTCTCCCCATGCTATGTCTCCCCAACTCCCCACCCCCTGCTTCCCTCCCCTATTCCCCCCAACAGACCCCAGTGTGTAGTGCTCCCCTCCCTGTGTCCATGTGTTCTCATTGTTCATCACCCCCCCGCCATGAGTGAGAACATGCGGTATTTCATTTTCTGTTCTTATGTCAGTTTGCTGAGAATGATGTTCTCCAGGTTCATCCATGTCCCTACAAAGGACACGAACTCATCATTTTTGATGGCTGCATAATATTTCATGGTGTATATGTGCCACATTTTCCCTGTCCAGTGTATCATCGATGGGTATTTGAGTTGATTGATATATTCATTACTGGTATATATCCAAAGAGATACAATTTTTAAAAGTTATAGAGGAGAAGAGATACTGGAAATAAGATTAAATCAAATGCAACTTATGTAAATCTACTCCAGTACTCTGGACTCTTCAACATTCTTACTGTAGAGAGCTTTTACCCTGTTACTTTATTTCCTTCTACTCACCATAAGTCCAGACGGTTCTTGTGTTTGATTTTAATGCTATCACCTCAAAGCTAGCTTTAGTGGTACTTTGTGTTAGCACTTCTGCACTGCATAAAATATAAACCCTTGATCAATATGGCAAGAATGCCATTTCCGATTATAGAACAAATAGATAAAAGAAACAAAATCAGAACAACTAAGTAACAGAGAAAATAGTATGTTTGATCATATATGCTTTAAAAGATTCAGTACGAGTTGGATTCATTTCATGGATCAAACCATGTCTTTCTTATATTTTTTAACCAAAATATGTTAAAATTGTGAAAATAACAATTTACATGTAAAAATGTGATGAGCATGGCATTACAATCTTATAATATATGTAATTATATATATTCATATTGAATAACTGAAAAGAACTGGCTAAATTCAGAACACCGAAGTTATGATACATTGGCCACCACATTATCATTTTAATTATTATTTGAAATATTCCTGGCTGACACATTTAAAATGTTCCCAGTCCTGTCTTATATAACTCAGAAAACACAGACTCAACATGACTGTCAAGGACAACTCTGAATTTTAATGTTTCCATTTTTGGCCTCATGGCAGAAAGAGTTTTATTAACCACTATGAGCTCTGGAATGTCAAAGGCATGATAGGCAGTATAGATTCCACACACAAAATAGATGCATAGTCATTTTATTCTAAATTGCTTCACTTGAAAATGCAGCATGAAAATCTAGAGAGACGAAGTAAAAAGAAGTGATTTTATAGTGTTCTAAAATGTTGAGGCTTGGAAAATATGAAGCCTGGGATAAAAATGCTCATGCATTTGGGTTGTGATTCAGCCATCCTAATAAGTTCCTGTACACCTGCCATAGAGTTTGAATACCTAAGAGATAGATGGATAGGTGCTAAGCACTAGTTTTGCAAGTAGGGAGAGCATGTTTGCCAGAAAGTAACGGGGAATGTCCCAAACGTGTTTCTCCACTCTTGTGTTAATATACCAAAATGTTCTAAGAAGCAAACTAGTAGGCTAGAAGTCTCAAATACCTATTCAGAGAAATTCCAGTAGTAATTAGTGTAACAAGGTAAGGTTGTAGGGGATCTGAAGCACCCAGGCAAGATATCTTGGTTCTAGAGCAGCCTCCTATGTTTACCTTTAATTTATTCCTGTGTTTACCCCATTCATCATTACAAAATAATTGTACATCATGTTTTTTAAAAGATTAGAAATATTATTTTGTGACAGCCTCACTTAATAGGGGAAAATGATTGTTTTCATAGCCACATTTTTTAAGTTAGGAAGCCAAGATTTGATTTATTCTAGTTTTATCCCAGGGTTCAATTGAGACAGAGTGGTTATTTTCTGCTGATGTTAGTGTAATTGTGAATACACTAAAAATAATCACTAATTACTCCTACTGTATTGTAATCTTCATGCAATCAGGAAGCAACAAACTCATCTGTGTGTATTTACCCCAAACCCCCACATGGCACCATTTGTCTGACAAATGTTTATTGATCTTTATTTGCTTGTAATCAATAGTGAGATGGACAGAGAGCATCTCTGTTCTAGTGGATTGCATATTCTAGTAAATAGAGACAAAAAAAGGACTAAACTGATATATAAGAAACTACTGAATAGTAACAATGCTATTTAAAAAATGACAGAAGTAGCAAATTTCTAGGGAGCAACATTGATAACCTGCTCAAGAAAAGCCATTCTGGGTAGGTGACACTTATCTTGAGTCATGAATGATAAGAAAGAGATGATTTAAAGATCTGGAGGAAAAGCAATCCAGGTAGAGGGAAGAGCTTGACACATTTTTGGAAGAGAGAAAAAGCAAGTCAGTCTGAAACTGTGTGAGAGGGCAAGAATGGTATACAATCAGATTGCAGAGGTAGGCAGGGGCTATATCATATAAGAATTTCAGGTAAAGAAGTTAAATTTTCTTTCTTAGTGTGATAGGAATCTATCACTTTTTATAAATCGGAATGATATTTGATTTGTAGTTTGAGCAGAAGAGAAAGAACCAGTAAAGGAGCTAAAAGCTAGCAAATAGGCCAGGCATGGTGGCTCACGCCTGTAATCCCAGCACTTCAGGAGGAGGTGGGTGGATCACCTGAGGTCAGGAGTTTGAGACCAGCATGGCCAATGTCTCTACTAAAAATACCAAAATTAGCAGGGCATGGTGGCATGCACCTGTAATCCCAGATACTCGGGAGGGCTGAGGCAGGAGAATCGCTTGAACCCAGGAGGTGGAGGTTTCAGGGAGCCGAGATTACACCATTTGCACTACAGCCTGGGTGACATAGCGAGACTTCATCTCCAAATGAAAAAAAAAGGTAGCACATAGAAAGAGGAGGGTAATCTAGAGACGGTGTTACATGAGCTCTAAGAGAAGAGGGTGTCAAAAATTAGGGAGTGGCCAATTAGTAATCAACATGACAAGTAAGGTGCTATAACAAATGGTTATTAGGAACATGAAAATTAATGATATCCTTTATAAAAGTGGGATAGTGGGCGAAGTGAATAGTAGGATAAATATGTGGAAATAGTAACCGTAGGAAACTTTTTTTTTTTTTCAGTGAAGAGGAACACATAATAGGAGAGTAGCAGGATGGGTTTGTGGATCAAGAGTTTGTCTTAGTTTCATGGTAATGGAGAACTTCAGTAGAAAAGAGCCTGAAAATGCCAAAAGTGCTGATAATTTTAGAAGAAAAGTGCTTGAAAAAGTGAAAGGGGGTGGGACGAGAAGTAGAACAACCTACAGTATCTTTCTTAATGCATGTCTTCCCTATATACTTTCCAATTAAATTGACAGTAGAAATATACAAATTTTGCTGAGTATCATAGCAGAAAATCTGCTTGGAATGATTCTAGTTTAATAAAAAATAGCATTAACTGAGATGTAGCGGAAATAAATTTCACCATTTGAGAGCCAATGATTTCAATATATATATGAGACTATTATTTTAATTTCCTTTAAAATATTTTATCTTTCAGGTGCTTCAAGAAGATCTAGAACAAGAGCAAGTCAGGGTCAATTCTCTTACTCACATGGTGGTGGTAGTTGATGAATCTAGTGGAGATCATGCAACTGCTGCTTTGGAAGAACAACTTAAGGTCAGATTATTTTGTTTCATAAACTAAATATGTCCTTTAAAAGAACCATAACTTGAAAAGTATTTTAAAAATTTAGAAAGCAATTTATATATTATGATATTTAGAATACAATACATTTATTAGAAATAATTCAAATTGTTTCCCATTTGTGCAAATTGCCATTTCATTCATTGTACACTATTTCCTCACATGAGTTTCTTGGCCTAAGGGAAATACATAAAGTGAGGTCCATTTAAAAAATTATACTGAATCACATATATTAGAGAACTAGTCTGGGGCATGCTGTTTAATATTTACATCCTCTTCAAACCTACAGTCTAAACAATGATAAAGATAAAAAACACAAGAAAAATTACTTTTAATTAAATAATGAAACATTGAATGGTTTCACTGTATATATTCCAGGAAGCCTTCAGTTGTAGTCTCTCTGAAAGCATAGCAGGATGTTCATGTCATGGGATTCTGGTTGAAGTAGACATTGAGCCTTCTAAGCCCTCTTCCTACCTGAATTGTAGCAGTTGTGCTTTTAGAACTACTAGTACATTTTAATAAAAGACAGTGTGAATATTTTAATATTTTTGTTTTTCTTCCAAATGCAGAACAATAAAGTTGTATTGTAAAAAAAAATTGATAAGGTATACATATACCAAAATATCAGCATTAGGGAAAATATAAAAATTTATTATTTGGAATAATTATTCTATGAGTATGGATATATATATTTATAATATTTGTTGCAGAAAAATAAACTTATAAAAAAGTTTCAGTAGGGTTTATACACATATACCAGAATACCAATAGTAAGGGAAAACACCTTAATTTTTTGTTCAGAGTGATTGCCCACACACACTCACACACACAAACATATGTAAGTGTAGATTACATTTGATGCATTCATTCTGACCATCAAAAACCTGCCTTTACTTTTGGCCAAAAGCAAAAGTGATACGTACAAGAATCCAATCAATGTGGGTTTAGAAATACCAAAGTACTTCTAAACATAGTTTCTCCTACCTAACCTATAACACGCTTTCTTAAAGTCTTATCTCTGCTTTCTTTTTTTTTTAATTGCATTTTAGGTTTTGGGGTACATGTGCAGAACATGCAACACAGTTGCCTAGGTACACACATGGCAGTGTGTTTCGCTGCCTTCCTCCCCTTCACCCACATTTGGCATTTCTCCCCAGGCTATCCCTCCCCAGATACACCCCCCCCACTGTCCCTCCCCTATTCCCCCCAATAGACCCCAGGATTTAGTACTCCCTTCCCCATGTCCTTGTGTTCTCATTTTTCGTTACCCACCTATGAGTGAGAATATGCGGTATTTCATTTTCTGTTCTTGTGTCAGTTTGCTGAGAATGATGTTCTCCAGATTCATCCATGTCCCTACAAAGGACATGAACTCATCATTTTTGATTGCTGAATAATATTCCATGGTGTATATGTGCCACATTTTCCCAATCCAGTCTATCATCGATGGGCATTTGGGTTGCTTCCAGATCTTTGCTATTATAAACAGTGCTGCAATGAACATTCGTGTGCATGTGTCCTTATAGTAGAAAGATTTATAGTCCTTTGGATATATACCCAGTAATGGGATTGCTGGGTCAAATGGAATATCTATTTCTAAGGCCTTGAGGAATTGCCACACTGTCTTCCACAATGGTTGAACTAATTTACATTCCCATCAACAGTGTAAAAGTGTTCCTATTTCTCCACATCCTCTCCAGCATCTGTTGTCTCCAGAATTTTTAATGATCGCCATTCTAACTGGTGTGAGATGGTATCTCAATGTGGTTTTGATTTGCATCTCTCTGATGACCAGTGATGATGAGCATTTTTTCATGTTTGTTGGCCTCATGTATGTCTTCTTTTGTAAAGTGTCTGTTCATATTCTTTGCCCATTTATGAATGGGCTTCTTTGTTTTTTTCTGTAAATCTGTTTGAGTTCTTTGTAAATTCTGGATATCAGCCCTTTGTCAGATGGGTTAATTACAAACATTTTTTCCCATTCTGTTGGTTGCCGATTCACTCCAGTGACTGTTTCTTTTGCTGTGCAGAAGCTGTGGAGTTTGATTAGGTCCCATTTGTCTCTTTTGGCTTTTGGTGTCAATGCTTTTGGTGTTTTGGTCATGAAGTCCTTGCCTACTCCTATGTCCTGAATGGTTTTGCCTAGATTTTCTTCTAGGGTTTTTATGGTGCCAGGTCTTATGTTTAAGTCTTTAATCCATCTGGAGTTAATTTTAGGGTAAGGTGTCAGGAAGGGGTCCAGTTTCTTCTTTCTGCACATGGCTAGCCAATTTTTCCAACACCATTTATTAAACAGGGAATACTTTTCCCATTGCTTGTTTTTGTCAGGTTTATCAAAGATTGTATGGTTGTAGATATGTTGTGTTGCCTCCGGTGCCTCTGTTTTGTTCCATTGGTCTATATCTCTGTTTTGGTACCAGTACCATGCTGTTTTGATTACTGTAGCCTTGTAATATAGTTTGAAATCTGGTAGCGTGATGCCTCCCACTGTGTTATTTTTGCTTAGAATTGACTTGGCTATGTGGGCTCTCTTTTGGTTCCATATGAAGTTCATGGTGGTTTTTTCCAGTTCTGTGAAGAAAGTCAATGGTAGCTTGATGGGGATAGCGTTGATTCTGTAAATTTCATTGGGCAGTATAGCCATTTTCACGATATTGATTCTTCCTAACAATGAACATGGAATGTTTCTCCACCTGTCTGTGTCCTCTCTTATTTCGTTGAGCAGTGGTTTGTAGTTTTCCTTGAAGAGGTCCCTTACATTCCTTGTGAGTTGTATTCCTAGGTATTTTATTCTTTTTGTAGCAATTGTGAATGGCAGTTCGTTCTTGATTTGGCTTTCTTTAAGTCTGTTATTGGTGTATAGGAATGCTTGTGATATTTGCACATTGATTTTATATCCTGAGACTTCGCTGAAGTTGCTTATCAGTTTCAGGAGTTTCTGGGCTGAGGCGATGGGGTCTTCTAGGTATACTATCATGTCGTCTGCAAATAGAGACACTTTGGCTTCCTCTTTTCCTATTTTAACACTCTTTATTTCTTTTTCTTGCCTGATGGCTCTGGCTAGAACTTCCAGTACCAGAATAGGAGTGGTGAAAGAGGGCATCCTTGTCTAGTGCCATATTTCAAAGGGAATGCTTCCAGTTTTTGCCCATTCAGTATAATATTGGTTGTTGGTTTGTCATAAATAGCTTTTATTACTTTGCGATGCGTTTCATCAGTACTGAGTTTATTGAGAGTTTTTAGCATATAGGGCTGTTGAAGATTTGAAAAAAGATTCGAGGAAATGATAACAAGAATGGATAACTTAGAGAGGAATATGAATGAATTGAAGGAGCTGAAAAACAACACGAGAACTTCGCGAAGTATGCACAAGTTTCAACAGCCAAATTGGCCAAGCAGAAGAAAGAATATCAGAAGTCGAAGATCAACTCAATGAAATAAAATGAGAAACCAAGATTAGAGAAAAAAAAACGCCAAAAGGAATGAACAAAGTCTCCAAGAAATGTGGGACTATGTGAAGAGACCTAACCTACGTTTGATAGGTGTACCAGAATGTGACGAAGATAACAAATCCAAGCTGGAAAATGCTCTTCAGGATATTATCCAGGAAAATTTCCTTCACCTAGCAAGGCAGGCCTACACTCAAATTCAGGAAATACAGAGATATTCCACAAAGATATTCCACAAGAAGAGCAACCCCAAGGCACATAATCGTCAGATTCACCAGGGTTGAAATAAAGGAGAAAATACTAAGGGTAGCCAGAGAGAAAGGTCGGGTCACCCACAAAGGGAAGCCCATCAGACTCACAGCAGATCTCTCGGCAGAAACTCTACAAGCCAGAAGAGAGTGGGGGCCAATATTCAACATCCTTAAAGAAAAGAACTTTCAACCCAGAATTTCATATCCAGTCAAACTGAGCTTAATAAGTGAATGAAAAATAAAATCCTTTGCGAACAAGCAAGTACTCAGAGATTTTGTCACCACCAGGCCTGCTTTACAAGAGCTCCTGAAAGAGGCACTACACATAGAAAGGAACAACCAGTACCAGCCATTCCAAAAACACACTAAATGCTAAAGAGCATCAACAAAATGAAGAATCTACAACAACTAATGGGCAAAACAGCCAGCTAGCATCCAAATGGCAGTATCAAATTCACACATAACGATATTAACCCTAAATGTAAATGTGCTAAATGCACCAATAAAAAGACACAGACTGGCAAATTGGATAAAAAACCAAAATCCATCAGTGTGCTGTATCCAGGAAACCCATCTCACATGCAAGGATACACAAAGGCTCAAAATAAAGGGATGGAGGAAGATTTACCAAGCAAATGGAGAGCAAAAAAATGCAGGAGTTGCAATTCTCATCTCTGATAAAATAGACTTTAAAGCAACAAAGATCAAAAGAGACAAAGAAGGCCATTACATAATGGTAAAAGGATCAATACAACAAGAAGAGCTAATGATCCTAAATATATATGGACCCAATACAGGAGTACCCACATACATAAGGCAAGTTCTTAATGACTTACAAAGAGACTTAGACTCCCACCCAATAATAGTGGGAGACTTTAACACTCCACTGTCAATATTAGACAGATCAACCAGACAGAAAATTAACAAGGATATCCAGGGCTTGAACTCAGACCTGGAGCAAGCAAACCTGATAGACATTTACAGACCTCTCCACCCCAAATCCACAGAATATATATTCTTCTCAGCACCACATCACACCTACTCTAAAATTGACCACATAATTGGAAGTAAAGCACTCCTCAGCAAATGCAAAACAACCGAAATCATAACAAACAGTCTCTCAGATCATAGTGCAATCAAATTAGAACTCAGAATTCAGAAACTAACCCAGAACTGCACAGCTTCATGGAAACTGAACAACTGGCTCTTGAATGTTGACTGGATAAACAATGAAATGAAGGCAGAAATAAAGAAGTTCTTCGAAACCAAC